CTTTAAAGAATTCTTTTACGAAACCAATCTTTCATAGAAATGTAATTTTAGTCCAGAATAAAATGATGAATTTTGTTAAATTCAGCAGCACTTAGTACGTGTTCATACTCTACATGCAATTATTATAATTTATCTTCTCATGCAGTAAAAAGTTTACATTTAGATTAACCTTTAATACAACTTCATTACAGCTTGTTCTCCTTTTCATTCGAAATTCCTGCTAAAATCAGCAGAATTAGCCTGTGTGGAAAATTATCCGTCTTGTAAGACGTGCAAGAGTTTCAGCTTCCATAATGCTAACGGACCTGAAAACGCCCAGCAGCTTCCTGCCACGCCAAATGCAAACGGACCTGAAACATAATCCAGACTCGTACATATTCATCTCAGTAACCGAAACAAATCCTGCAGTACTTAATGACTCTGCTTTGTGGTGGGAAGCTGAATTGTCTCAATCAAAGCAGTGATCTCTTTATTTTTTTTTTTAGAAAGGGCTCAGAACTCTTTTAGTAGGCCTGAATCTTTTAGGAAATCATTACTTATAGACAAAGTTAATCTGCTTTCATGTTTATTAAACTGTAGTCAGGTGCAGCCAGAAGAGGGTAACTAATTAATGAATAAAAAGAAACACGCCCCCTGCCGCTGCCTCTGGACCAGTGATGCACCTGGTTGTCGTTTGGCCGAGCAGCTGTCAGTCAGGATGCGACTATAAACAGACAACAGCAGAGATCCCTGCAGGCTCGGTTCAAGTGCACCCCAGAGAGGTGATGAGTGAGTGCTTCCTGAACCGGACCAACCACTCAACGTTTGCTCTGATTGATGATCCGCGTCATCTGAAACCTGCAGCCGACTGTTACATGCGCTCCGACGAGTTATTTGTTGTTCGTTTATTTGATTAAAGTGTTTGAAAAAAAAATCTGACACAGGAGCCACACTTTTGAATGACTTCACTCAGGGAAATGAACTCGCAGTGCAGCAGAGAACAGGAGCAGCACTGGGTGTTGGCCCAGAACCTTTCAGATATGCAGAAATGTCGGCTGACTTGAATAAACAACTTAATGAGATTCTTAAATGGTGATGAAAAAGCCTGATTTTTCTCACATTGTAGGAATTTATTTATTTATTTTACATTTTCTGACAATCTATGAAAGTGATTTATACAAAAGTAATGGTTTAAAGATCTGAAATGTCCTTGTGTCCTTGTACCTTTTGAGCTTACAGTAAATTTAATTTAATTTTGTGTGTGTGTGTGTGTGTGTGTGTGTGTGTGCGTGTGCGTGTGCTTCTTGTCTGTGACTGACTCTGTATTCTAGTTATGTGATTAATCAGATCAAAACCTGACTTCTAAAATTCAGGAAATATTCAAAGTTGGAAATTTAGGATGGGAGTTACTGGGAATAAACATGAAGACATATAATGATCACATGCCTCTATATAGTATTGGAAACTTAAACCTGCCACAGGAAATCAATCTGGAGGGTTTTGCAAATATTTTATTCATTCTGCAACTCCGATGTAGCTCAGCATGTGTCCTCTGTACGTATCTAGAAATCAGAGATATTTCTCCTGCTTTCCGTATTGTTAATCTCAGTCACTACGGATAATTTTCAACCACTTAACTTTGGTACAATTGATGAAAATTGACAAGCCTGTCATTATTAAACCATAAAAAGTCCAAATGTAAAAGTCAGCTGAAGAAAATGACACTTTTCACACATTTCAGTGAATCAACGTTTAAGCCCTGCAGAGCTGGCAGTGGGATTTCTTCTTAACCTTTCATGTGGATTCTCCATAATCCAGGTGGCAGCAATCCTTCAAGTGGAATTGGAAGCAGACTGGACTGTTTACTTTGGGTACTGATCGCGTCTTGTCTCTCTTCCAGGCTTTTATTTGACTTGAGGCATTTAGCTTTATAGAAATGGTGATTCTCAAAGGAATATCTTAGCAACAATTTAGACATCCCTGCTCTATAGACCTTATTTTCCTCGACAGGTTATGAACAGACCTCCTGCAGAATGTAATAACAAGCTGTGAGGTCATTTGGTTCCTTGAAGCACTCCAGGTCAATTCACCCCACCGCCTACTTGCTCCTAAATAGTGACACTTTTTTTTTTTCATTTCATGCCTGAAAAAACCATTTCACACTTATACTCAAGTGCATTAACCATTTTATATGTTTACTTGTATAGCATAGTAACAGTGCTGTAAAACATGTAGCCTCTAACAGATTTCTTAGTACATGCAAAATGGATTTTATAAGTAATACTTACATGTATTGGGGGCAGGGGGAAAGCGGCTATCTGTACCAACATGGAGATATGTGAAATACGCAACAATTACCATCAGTTGTTTGCGGTAACCGACAATAAATATTCAGGTCAGTTTGCCCAGTTGCCCGTTTGTATTTGCTTTTCGTACTTATTCATGCTGCTGATGAATTTTCACCGACTCATCTTAGGAGAATTGTTTTAGCTCAGCCACAGATTTAGGTCTCACCTCGATGCGATTTAACTCCAGACTTTGACTAGGCTTCTCCAAAAGGTTTTCGACCCATTCGGAGATGGATTTGCTGATTTGATTTTGGAGGTGACTGTAAGAGATGCCTTTGTGTGGTTTCGGCAACACAAAGACCAAAACAACGCCAGACATTGGCCACAATGTGAGACCATTTCTCATCCTTCATCCTATCAGATGGGCTCTAGTAAAGGGCTTTCTGGATTATAGAGGTGAGGCAGTATTCAGGACTGGATTGGCTATGTTTAGGCTTCAGTACCTTTTTTCTTTAAAGCAATTCATCATCTGAAATCTGCTTTTTACTCTTAATGCCTTCTTAGGTTGGTCTGACTTTAAATATTTACATGACAAACAAATTTACAGCAGAAAAAATATGTGCCGCAAGAAATAGTCAAAGAACAGCATTTTCATAGATAATTCAGCTAAACATATTTTTTTCTGGAAAACTCTTCTATAACTTATAATTAAATTGAATTGTGCGCTTTTTCTAAGGTTTGTCATCCCCACGTGTTGTTTTGAAATATGACACATTTTGACTCTTGATCAAATCAAAACCAATTCTGACCAGCCTCACAGTTACAGTATTACTTGTTAAAGTCAGAAACACAATGAACCCCACTTGAATTCATTGTTTTTTAAGCAGGAAAACATGCAAAAATGTCCAAGTCAGGGACTCCCAGGGATCATTTCAGTGATGGACGCTAATGACCCTTTTGCATTTTTCCACCTGTCACAAAGAGCAATCGGATATGTAGCAAATCAGCAGCTTTATTCACATAAGCAAAAGTGGGTATTCTGCACCACTGTGCAGTTGATTAAGCCTAATGCGTTGAGAAGTGAGGAGTTGCTTGGATTTAAAAACTGCTGACTCCTTTCTCTCTGCTGTTTGCTCTCTCCATCTCCATCCCTCTTCCCATCACTCAGTATTTCCCTCACTTCTTCAAGTGTCTCTTGTGATGAGGTTAAAAAGCAGAAGGGAAGAGAGGGACTCATTAAAATCCTCCCCCCCCACCCCTCCCTTCTTGCCATCTTTACCAGATTAAATTATGGTGGAACGACACAGGAAGAACCTCCGTGGCAATAACTGCTTCCAAACCTCCTTCCACCGAAGCCATTAAAGATGCTAAGACCTACATTTTCAACCTTATTTGAGTCTGGGCAGAAAATAAAATGCCTAAACAAGGAAGGCAACGAGAAACAGGGATCTGAAGAAGGGGAGCAAACAAGGGGGTTGATGGGGAAGGATTACAGGAGGGACAGCTACAGAGAGAATATGTTAAACAGGAAAGCAGGATGTCGGGCTGTAGCAACGGTTGTAGCCGCTGAGTTTACAGAAAATGGGATCAGTGATGCTTTCAAGGCAGGAATGCCATGCAGCAAAGCAGGCTGGGAGAGCACAGTGACTGATGGAAGCATTTTCCTTCAGAAGTAATCAGCTTGTCTTCTGTAGCCCCATTGCCAAGAATGACAATTTGTGCACGTCTGGGTGCTCATTTTGGGGGTGGGTTATTAGATGGCAGGCGGGGTAATACAGTCCATTTCCGCAGTGCACTATGGGAAAAAAAAAAAAAAAAAAAAGGGGATGGGAGCCAGACATGAAACGTGCAGAGATTTACTAGCTTTGCAGAGGAGCTAAAATAGCAGTATTCGGGGCACTTGTGTTGCAGTGGATGCGTAGCTTCAACAGGACAGATCGAGGACACAAGCAGGTTGACGCTGTGGAATCAGGAGCTGGATCATTTCTTAAACCGGGATGAGTTAGACGGGGCAAGGTCCGGACACAGCGAGTCGTCAGTTCTCATCTGAAGATAGAAAGGTAAGAAAGAGAAGAGGACGAGAAGACGAGGGGTGACGCTGTCATGGTGTCTCACTGAGAGCCGTTGTGTATTCATGAAATTTGACTTTGGGTGTCTCTTTATGCATCTGTATGTCTGTCATTCTGGTTCTGGGTGTGGATACCTATGAGTAAGTGCAGCTGTAAATGAAGAGTTGTAGCTTCAGCTCAGCAAGATTTATTATCCGTGCTTTTGATTTGTGTTTGATTAATCTCCTTCAGCTTGTTCTTCAGGTTGATTTCTGAAAATCCTTCTCTTATGTTCATCAATGCACAGAGAGAGCGACTCCAGTCTTTTTTGTTGCTTTCACGTGAATTCTTTCTCCATCACCTAAAGTTTAGATGTGCGCACAAAATGATAAGGCACATCCTGCCTAAGTCAGCAAGAGTGTTTAAGGTGCAGGAATCAATGGCAATCAACTTGAATAGGGAATAACAATAAATCATAGAAGTGGTTTCAATACTTCAGCTGCAGAAATAAATCTTCAGCTGGACTCACTTACTGTTTTCCTAACCCTTACTACAAGCTGTATATAAGAACTATGGCGTGAGCTGCATGTGCTGCTTGGTCTTCGAAAAGATCGAAGAACAAGGTGAAAATTGGGACTTTTTTAGGTGAGTGTAACATTGTACCGTTTTTGTCTTCTGGCTGCAGGTCCAGGAATGGCTATGCCTGAATTGTCAGATGCAGAGAGCTCTTGGCATTGATATGACCACACCTCGCTCAAAGAGCCAACAGCAAATTCACTCTCCGTCCCACCAAGCCAAGCCCATCGTCCAGCCACAGCAGCCCGTTCCGCAGCCAACACAGCCGGCTGCTGCTGCACAGCCCAAACCTCTGGCACAGAGTCAGTCGACTCAACAGCAGCAACAGCACCAACAGCAACAACCTCATTCCCAGCCTTATGGCCAAACTCATCCCTACTCCCAGTCCCAGCCGTATTCCCAGTCCCAGCCGTATTCCCAGTCCCAGCCATATTCCCAGGCTCAACCGTATTCCCAGTCCCAGCCATATTCCCAGGCTCAACCGTATTCCCAGTCCCAGCCATATTCCCAGTCCCAACAGTATCCCCAGTCCCAGCCTCAGCCTTACCCTCCATCACAACCAGGACCCCAGACACAGCCTCAGACACATCCAGGCCTTGGTGGTCCCCAGTCTAAGACAACACCCTCTCAGCAGGGCCTGAGGTCTGACCCGTACTCCCAGAGAGGTGTTGGAGCTCAAGGAGGTGCTGGAGGTCCGACAGGCGGCCCCGGCCAACAAGGAGGTCCTCGAATTCCCCACCCAGGCGCTGTACCTCTGCCTGGGTTGACTAAGGCACCCTCCCAGCCAGATTTAGGTCGAGGTTCTCCGATGCATCAACCTATGACACGTCACCATGACCAGACGAGAAGCGCTGGATCTTCCCCAGCCCACCGACCTCAGAGTCAGGCCCCTGCCCAGGATGGTCTGACCAAACTGTTTGGCTTTGGGGCATCGCTGCTCAATCAGGCTAGTACCCTGATCAACGTCGACCCTCTACCCACAGCCTCAACACAGCCAAGCCCTGCGCGAGGTAAGGTGGTGTTCAGCAATGCAACTCCCGATAACAGACAACAAGGGCCCAGCAGCACTAAGCCTTTCAGCATGGGGGGTCCTCAAGCTCCAAGCCAAACTGGGGGTCCACAGGCAACAAGTCAAGGGGGAGGTTTGAGTGGACCAAGCCAAATGGGAGGACCTCAAGCACCAAGTCAAAAGGGCGGTCCTCATACACCTGCTCCAACAGGAGGCCCCATCGCTGGCCCCCAAGGGCCAAGCCAAAAGCAGCAGCAGCAGGCTGGACTCCAAAAACAACAAACGCCGCCACAGCAGCCACTTACTCAGCGTCAAAAGGAGCAACAAGGACAGCAGATGCCTGCTCCCCAGCAGAAAGTGTTGCAGAAACAGGAACCAGTGTCGGTGCCCGTGACTGCTCCAGAGGCCGAGAAGCCCAAGGTGAACTGTCCTCTCTGCAAAACAGAGCTGAACATCGGCAGCACCGACACACCCAACTACAACACCTGTACGCAGTGTCAAAGCCAAGTGTGCAACCTGTGTGGCTTCAACCCAACACCGCATCTAGTCGAGGTAAGAGGAGACGCCCACATGCCTACATCTCCTACACACTGATATACACTGAATGATATTAAAGAGTCAAATCAGAGCGTACAAATCCCCAGTTAACTCTTCCCAGACAAATCAATATTGTTTGCAACATGCTACTCTTTCTGCTGTTGGACTTACATGTAACAAAACCTAAACCTCTTAACTGTCCTTCTGTTCTGGTCTGTTCCATTTTCCTCTGCTCCTCAGTGCTGTATTGCTTATTGAAGTGCATTTCCTCTGAAAATCTATTTTTTTTAGATTTCTGTTTTACACATTCATTCCTTCACCCTCTGTGTTAACTGTGAGTTATTTGAATCTATTTAAGGAGTGAAGCTCATTTCAGAAATGTGCAATATTGCTTTTTCTTTTAATAACTCCTTACACTAACTAAATCAATTTCATTTAATCAAGAGATACATTTTCTTCATAATATATTTGATTAACATCATGTTTTGTCCACACCAAAATGCTGACATTTTTTTTTTTTTGCAAGCATCACAAACAAATGCTTTGAGAAAATTGTACCAGTGGTTTCCCAAACTCATCAGAATCCACTTTCCAAGCTTTTAGCAAAACATTAAAAATAGTTTTACTACCATGCCAGTGAAGCACACATGGCTAGAAAGCAAATTAAGCAAGAAGGTTACAGCAACAAAAGGGTCTCAACAATCATTTCAGTCCATGAATAACTGTCTTTATATCACTTCTACCAAAAAAGTACATCAGTGTGGAGTCCATTTCATCTCAAATTTGCTGGGTACTGTTCTACCGACTGCAGTCTTGTCCTGATCTCTGACCAAGTCTGATTAATCTGGACACAATACATGTGAGGAATGTCTTCTCTGTGTGATCCAGTCCAACATCTATGGTACGCTTTGTCACTTTGCTGAATAAGTTATGGTCCAGAACCAAGTGCTTTTTGGTATATGGTTTTTTTTGTTCAGTGTTTGTTCCATATGTACCTTTTGTGAGCTTGTCCAGCATGCAGACGACCTCTGTTGGCAAAAACATGTTTCTCAAAAACATGTTGCTCATTTTTTATTTAGTAAAAAATGCATAGATAGAAAATAAGTCTTTTTTTTTTTGTTCCATTTTGTAGTTGTGTTGCATTGATATTGTCACAAATTTTCCACACAGTGAGAGAGAATCAGCATTGACTTAGATTTTTTTCAAGTTCAAAATAAACGATGACAAGTCTTCAGAAAAGAGCACAGAAATGTCCAAACATCGCTGATGGGCTTGATGTGAAGAAGGCAGTGAACATATTTTTAGTAAAGTAAGAGAAGCGTAGAAAACACAGACATCCTATCCACCCACACTTTCTTTGTTCCCTCCAAACTGCTCCTGCTCATGGAACAATGAAAGGAGTATAAAGGTCCAGCACTCCATCACCTCCCCTTTATCGATCCAAATGCAGTCTTGGAGTGGAAAGGAGAAGAGACAGTATTGGAAAATGAAAGACAGGAAGACGGATAGCGTATTAGGATTTTGCCAGGGACAAAACTGAAGGGCCGATGACAAATGGAAAAGAAGAATTGTCTTCTTAGGAAAAAGCCTGAAACTGAATGCCAGGGTGGACGGAAAAAGAAAAATCTGCGAGAAATGTAAAGCATCACAGATTTGTCAGTGGGTTAGTCTAGCAGACTAATTAAAACAACGTATTTATTTTTGCCTAAAGGGTCCCTATAAAATACAGTTGTTAGTATTTCTATAGTGTAAGATGCTGGAATTGCCGCTGGGTGGAGTCTGACATAATGGGTTAAATATAACCACCTTTGTAAGGGCGCAGAGGACACTGACACACACACACACACACACATGCAAACACACATAAAGAGCAAATATTGGTCAAAATGCCATTTAGACCGAGATAATCTGTCACAGTTCTAAAACTCAGAGCATGACTTAAAGGGATGATGAGTGTGTAAATGTCGGTCAAGATTGTGGCCTTGGTACGTTGCAGTTGTTTTTATGTAATAAGAAAATCACATACATTATAATTATTACTCATCGTTTAGTGTTGCCCCCTTAATAAGCCCCAAAACGTTAATCTTCTGGCCAAATAGTGATATTCACGTTTAGGAAGTCGTGTGAAAACATTAAGTATGAAAGCTGTGTTTTTGTGACTCCAGAATGCGTTGTGTTTTCTGCAATATGAGTGTTAAAAAATGGCCAGGGTGCAATGAATGTTGAAACCCAATGTGAATAAGACTGTAGAATGCGTGTTGCTAAAACAGGAAGTGTCTTTTAATTTGAAATCCTAATCCGAGTTTCATTCAATTTACAACACGGAATGGTTTGAATAAAAAAGTGAACATGTCGTCACATCCTCAATTCGGTTTGTCAAAATGGACACAAAACCATAAACAAAAAACAGTTGGAACTACACAACATTTGGTATTTAAATGACTCTGTGTCCAGTAAATTGACATATATATATATATATATATATATATATATATATATATACTGACTGTTACAGTAACATGGACTTTTAATGCCACAACATTAACTCCACATTAAAAGACAACAGAATTTTGAAAGAAGCTACTGATTCTCTGACTGGCCACAGAAAGAAAAAGGTAAAAAAAAAAAAGTTGAACAAGGTCAAAGACAAGAATGAAGAATATATTATTACTTTTTGAAAACTAATTATCAAGAATCTTGGATTAGAATATGTATAAAAGATGTAAAAAAAACAACATAAGAAGATACATGAGATAATAAAAAAAAGTACCAATGCAAATCTAAAACCCGTGGAAAATGTTTTTGAAACATCTGAGTTTTGAACTTATTAAATGATCCAAATAGTTGATCTTCTTTAGTTGTTAGTTATGAGTTAAGAACAAGAACTAACACATCTTGTTTCTGAAAATGAATATTTAATTAAGAGACTGTATGTGGACATGCTGGTGTCTGATTCACAGTGTGCGAGTCCTTATATTTTAAAATGAACTCTGAACTCTTTACTGTCCACAGTGAAAATGATTTGTTCTTGCAAAATCAAACACTAGAGTGGACAGTTCCTGAATTATATTGTATTCCAGTTCTCTTCCAGATTATCTAGTGAATAGAAACTAAAAAATCTAACCAAATCTCTCTGGCTTTACAGAGGGGGCTGCATGGTGTTAGCACTGTTAGCTAAACCATGTTAGCTTATTTAGAGATGCCTTCAGGGGAGTGCGTTCGTGGCATTTCTGTTGCTCTGTGATGGACTGGCAATCTGTCACGGATACGCCCTACCTCACCTCCGTCCTCTCCCCCCAACACACACACACACACACACACATCAGCGTCTCAGCTGCTGCGCCTCCCGACTACTGAGGGACTGTTTGCCTCGCAGCTCATAAAGTGAATATCCTACAACACAGAGAACACTACATGCAATAACTCTGCTGATCATCCCAGCCTGCAGATTCACACACAACAAATATGGTGTGTGTGTGTGTGTGTGTGTGTGGGTATGCATGTGTGTGTGTTGATCAGCTAAGCGAGGAAAGTGGTGGCAAGGGAGTAAGGCAGTTGTCTCACCTCAAACAGAGAAAATAAAGTAGGCTCTGTGATTATTATTGGTATTCTCCATTCTGCTGCCACTTTAGCTAAGGAAGCGTGGCGTAAAGAATGCAGGCGCAAATATTCAATAGTTTGGCATAAATATTACCTTTTTAATGCAAGTTTCTTTTT